GTGTGTATGCGAGTCTAAAACAGACAGTGACGGAAAAAGCGAAACACAGAGTGTGTGTGTGTGAGAGAGAGAGTAATACAAACAACATAAAAGTTGATTTTCACTCTAAAGTAGTTTCCATCACGACCTTGTTAAACCCAGCACTGTGCACACCCACCATGATGTTCATTCATCAGTCTGAATTACTTATTTGAATGTAGCCATTGATTTAATGACTGCATGCACACAATTTCCCAATGTCGAAGTTCCAAAGAATCTTGTGTGTGTGTATATACGTAAATTCGAAACATAAACACTCTGTGTGTACACTTCACCTACTATGTTAGTCAGTGTACATTGTTCATGTTGAAGCTTTGAATCAACTATCACCATTGTTGTCCCCCTTTGAAATTCACTTTACAAACACATTTACATACCATTGATACAAAAGACGAGCCAATCACTGCATGTAGTCCAAAAAATATGATACTTTAATCTGTACTTGCTTATGTATGTCCTATTTATTTGAAAAACTGTGTTCCTATGTATATATACATCCCTATTAAAGAGTACCATCACCTATTTGCACATTTCGTTAAAACATATAAGTTAGATAACTTTTATTGGGCATCTTCTATAAAGTGTACTGTTAACATGTACTCCATGCATATATATGAATACATGCATATGTAAACACACACACACACACACTAGACATAAACACGCATCACATCACCTCCACCTTCACTTCATTCATTTAGTCATTATTCTAAAGATAAATTACCGGTACAACTAACTGTATTACAAGTTAATTTAATTATCTTGATTAAATGTATTTCTTAGCTATAAAAATTTCCGAAAACTTCACTTATTTTTCTTCTAATACTAATGTTAAATGTCAGCTGCATTTATTTAGTATTAATTTTTGACAAAAATAAATATCCCATCATTACACACTAGTGACTAACTTCAAAATATAAATTTTCTGAAATTTGAGCCAATCAGAACATGTATACATTGTTGACATAGAATAGTGATAGATTTCTACCGCCAGTTACACACCTTACAATTCTGTATTGAGTTCAGATAGATGACAGTTTCGCATTGTTGAGAAAATTGTTAAATTGAAAATGAAAACAGTTTCCCTTAACTTCTAGTCGTCTTCTAATTAATTTAAACAACACATCAAACTATTTCGAATAGTATTGTGTAGTAACAGTGGTAGTACTCGGGTACATTCACAGTATTAAAATTGATATCAAGCAGGCTATATAACTCAAGGAGGAAGTTAACCAAAAAGGATTTTGTATGCTCAACAATCTGTGTTGTAGTAATACTTTCATGCGTCAGTGGCACAGCGGTTAGGACGCTCGCCAGCCATGCACATAGTCTGGGGTCGATCCCCGGCCGACGCATTCCTTCACCTCGCTAAGCCAGAAATAATGCTGGTAAAGAGGAAAGGTTGGGCATGAGGCTAGAAACCACATCCTGTAAAAATAAACACTGCTACAGAAACTTCAAGCCAATCGCTTGAAGCCCTATGTTCCACTGGGAATGTGAAGGAAAAATCAATTTATTAATTAATACTTTCATGCAAAGAACTTTTTATAAATATGATCTCTTTTAATATGATTGAAAATAACTGAGCAACGACCTTTCTTCCAAAACATTCCATAGATAACAGCTATAAGATTCTTTTACAACCTTGTTTAGAAAGTCTTCAAGGCGCTTCAATGCAGTCAACTATTCCATGAATGTAATTTGATGTATCTAACATTCTGCGCTTAAATTTTGTGGACCAATTTGGAAGTGAAATCATCATAAATCTTTAGACAACAAAGAACCAGATAGTAACTTAAAACTTAGAGGTCACAAGGAAAAACATTGCCAGATTATTTGGAGGAAACCATCCACTAGTGAAAAATAAGTTAAATCAATCCTATTCTTTGGAAAATGAACGTAGATCTCCAGTGGCTAATGTTCAATTTCTGGATCAAATAACCATATTCATTCTTCAAAAAGATATCTGTATGTTTCACTATGGGACTTGAAAATATCCAGAAGGTTCAAATAAGATAAATAAAGTAAAAATGATATATCAGTAGCGTGGAGTAGGCACCAGATAAATCTATTTTGCATATAATGTAAACCAATAAAACATATCTGATTAAGGGTTGAGCTTCAACACAACGTGTGTGTACATATGCTTTTCTTGAAATTTTAATGCATGTATAAGCTGCTGTACGGAGCTGTGTATTAGGTATGTAGGCTGAGATTTTGTAAATTCCGGTTTAATAATACTTTGAGAAAGCTATTAGCATTAAATAGCGAAACGTCAGTAAAAACAATATCGTTTTGTTTTTCATTCATTGGGAAATACAAAAAAACCTTTATTATAATGAATATCATATACCCAATGCCCAAATTTTTTCAAACCGTTAAAAGTGAACTTGGTTTGGACATATATAATGTAGGCACATATGTGTGAAATTACAGTAGGCTGAGAAACTGAAACCACTTAGTTGTTGAAAAACATCCCCATCTTGTTTTATATTTATACTATGAACCATCAAGTTCTATGTTACCGTCCGACAACTTTGAGGAGTTCGGATTTCTCCCCTTTGCCAAGTCATCTTATCAACACTAATAACCCTCTCCAGTTTAACAAACCTGTGATTAACTTTCTCCTCTACCATTTAAAATGGAAAGGTTTAAAAACATTACTACGAAAATTCAAGAATAAAGTGCTCCTTGTAATAAAATCGTACAGTCCTACATTACTTACTTCGATGTCAGTCGACTAAATTGACTTTTTAGCATTATTCTAAAATGGGTGAAAATAAATTAAATCAGCTACACAGCACATGTTAATGAGGATACATACACCATAGATTAAGATTTATTCTACCATCTAATCCTTACTACTAAATTAATCAGAGAAGGATTAAAACCCTTTTTTTGCAACGCGAAAATCATCTCTCCAAGTTAGTTAGTCTGAACTTCATTTGAGCTTAAGAAATTACCATGCCTTAGGTTCTTACTTGTGAGCATCTAAAGGATCATATGACATGAAAATCCGTCAACAGTTGAGTCACGCTAAGAGAAGTACACGTACATGTGTATGATTTTTCTGAAGTAGATGGATAAAAATATCGTCTGCAGATCTCTTAAAAAGTGTACATTGATGTATTGTAATTATTTATTATTGTTGTTCCCTTGGGTTCCTAGTGGAGTTACCCTTGCACTGACGACCCACTCGCCGCTTCCCTTTCGGGTTCCACTCGAGTGATGGCCTGACGCGCGCGCGATGTCACGCAGCTGCCTCCTCAGCGAGTAGTGTCCAATCCATCTCCACTTTCTCCTACATATCTGTTGTTTGGCGAGTGGTTCTTGTTTTGTTTGTTCGCACAGTTTCTCGTGATTCTTTCCGGTCATCTAATCTTCAGTATAAAACGAAGACAGTTGTTGGTAAAGGTTTGCAATCTGTTGGAAATATTCTTTAATCTACATGCTTCTAAACAGCAAAATTATTAATTATAACGAAAATCGTTTGTGTCATCTAGGGAGTATTTAGAAATAATTACTAATCATCTGGATCACTTGACAACTCATAAAATCGAATTTTTTGAACGAGTATCCTTAAAGACCAAATGCTTATTGAGTTTTATGAGTTTAACAAATAAGTTTATTCTGGTCATTGATATAAAGAAACGATCTTCGAGCAATTTAATTTTCTAAGCACAAATTTAATCAATAATTTTTTATTTGAATTCAAACTGCAGAGTTACACTATTTACTCTTGAATGATGACCAGTTCATTCAGTGTTGTCAATGTATTTTCCTTGATAATACAATATGAAGTGCTCAGAACATATATATATATATATATATCATAGAAGGGAGGAGTTAGGAGTACTTATTCAGTACTTACAGTTTGAACACCATGCATTTGATAAATATCACCTTCTCACTAGAGTAGGATGTTATGACGGTGGAAGAACATTAGTATAAAAAATGTGGAATTAATCTATTCAATATCCTGAACGGATAATAAATTAACCTTTATGAAAATCAACTGCGCTAACCAAAAATCAGTTTTATTTTCTCGCTTACAAACAGATTATATTAATTCTTATCTATGTATTGGGTACATTTTGACATTTTCAAGACTGTATGTATAATAAACAACAAGAATAATAATAATAATAAGACGAATAGGAAGAATAGAAAGAGGTAATTGAAGGAAAAATAGCCTAACCAGTGGACAACAGACGTATGAGATGATTAAACATGCTTTTAAAATTTTAAATGCCAATTTATCGAATCTTGAATTTAGGCTAGAACAAAGCTAATACATACAGAAAGCACCATCATCATCTCCAGCTTTGTAGGCTACCTTTAAATGCCTTTCACTTGTCTTTTTTGCTAACGCCCACGTTCTCCCTTTTTCCTACATGTATATATATTTGTTTGTTTATGTCCAGTATGTGTAATATAAGCACTGGTATTTGGAGTGGAGAAAGTTACATGTCTTTGATTTCTCAATTGTCTATACTAAGAATTGATTGAAATCTTTCCATTTTCTCGTCTTTTGCATTTCCAGTTCTATTGAATCTTAATGAACCATACATTTCCACGTATTCATAGGCAAATGGTATTTAAGATTCCTTTCTCTCTCTCTCTCTCTCTCCCCATCCTTATATCTTGGCACTAATTGTTCGTGTTTTCTTTCTTTTTCAGAAGATAAAATGATAAATTTGTAGTTTATTCCAAATTTTAGACAATATTCTTGTTGTTATTGTTGATGTTAGTTTCTGTTTGCTGTCGATTCTGTTTCCATCATTCGACCTAAAACTAGAATATGAGGGATTCAGCTACTCGATTATTGATTTCTCTTTCATGGAGAAATATTCAGGGATAGTTGATTTGTGTATATGTGTACATCAGATGCAAATATGGTGGGCAGTGTGCAGTGTCCATTAATATTCATTATCGACATTTCTGTACACTGATCGTTAGATGCACGCTTTGTTACACTGAATAATATATTTTCTCCAGCCACTGGTGCACACACACACATACACACACAAAAGAAGAAAGGGATAATACACTAGTATGCAACAAATAAAGTTAGTGGGTAGACCAGAATAGAGATATTAATCCTAATGGTTCTTTTTACTCTATCTGGCTAAAAGGTAATACTAAAGATTGTGAGCCAAACATAAATATATACAAATATCAGTTGGTTAACTTGACGAATAGAGTCACCATTAGCACAACATTGTGCTTGATATTTAACTATTCATCCATCTATTCCTATATGAGTTGTGCTCATTAAAACAGTATATTCACTGTTAAATGTCCAATGTATCGCATTACTTATCAATCAGTTAGGACATTTATCTTTTTATTATGTATACTACACTATATTCAGAGTAAGTTAATGACTTTTTTGAATTCTTTTTTTTGTGCTAAAACAAGACGTGAGATGAAGGACTTTTTATGAAGTCACATTTTTTAAAATTTCTAATAACTCTCTTTTTGTCACTCAAGAATTAACTGTTTGTGTCAAGTGATCAATAGACGATATTATAATTAGCTGATTGTCTAGTTCAACTGTTAATTAAAAATCTATTCATCAATTATGTAGTGTAATCATTGAGATAAATGACCCAACATTCCATACGCTACTTAAGTTTCCATAGTAATTTGTTAGTCAGCCAACAGCCTTAGGAAATAAAGCTCCTTTTTTTCTTGGATATTATCATTAGTTTATTTTATGCAGCCTTAAAGACATTCGTGTTTATCTTGTAATACAATTCGGTGTTGATAAGTTCTAATGGTTAGACAATGAATGATCTTTTTTAGGAATGCCTTTCATTCCAAGATAAGTTAATAAGGTTGAAAAATGAATTTTAGGAAAACATTAATAAGCATGTTTTCTAACTACTTCAATCATCCTTTTTTCACAGAAACACTTGAATATGTTTCAATTAACCCTGATGCTGCAGTAATGAAAACATTTATTTGTAAGAGGATGTGAAATTGTTAAAAAGGATTTGTAAAAAGACTGAATTAATCCCTTCCCCCCAATGAGTAATAACTTTACACATTCCAGTCGTAGTCTGATCAGTTTCATCAATTACAGAATCACTTAGTACCAAGAGTGGAAGACTTCTGTTTCACCCTACTTTGAAACTCATCCCTATTGTGTACAAGGGGACTTTTAGGTTGAATGACGATCCTGTTGTTCACTCGACTGCTGGTTTGGAATCCAATGACCCATGAATACAAACCTCTGTCGCTTCGCGATATAGCGTAACCCCCGACCATTGCCATTGATCTACCAAATATACTGGACCCCATCGGCCACGATTAGAACGAAATAACTGTCAAGTAAACCTTTGTTTTTAATGATTATCTAATTGATATCAGTTCTTGATGCAGTCTCCACTGAAATTATCACAGCTATCGGGAAACTCAGACCCTGAATAACTTGATTACTGTTGTGCCAACAGTTCTAATTAAGCTTTCTACAAATAATCACAGTCTTTCTCCATAGTTTTATTTAATATTTGCTAACGTTTATCGACGGCCATTTGGGCTATGTCAGAGGTTTAAGGCTTCTACTCTTTCAATTAAAAACAATAAAACCTTTTGTTCCAGCTCGAGTCACTGGAACCCTAAATATTTCTCGGTCTTTACTTAACTAACCTGATTTAGTTAGATATCTTGATTAGTCAAGTAGCAAAATGCAGTTTCAATGTTCAGGTTATTTTTCTGATGCACAAAACAGTTCGACTATCTGTTGACTGAGGTGATGTTCAAAGGGTGTTTAACAAATAAATATCACTGGATCGACAGTTTAACTCTATGTAACTTTGATCCTATGGAAACTCACATTTTTCACTGCTCCTAATCCCTGCTTGCTTGTCACTAGCAGAAATTGTTGATTAGGCGTTTAGTGTGATGCACATTCATATAATTGAATCATTCAAAAATAATTTGAACAATTCCGTTTCTTCTAGAATCACTTCTATGCCAAAAAATCCCTCAATAAGTAGTTTGATAATCTATACAGTAATTAAATATGAAGTCATTTGGCTGACATGAAGACGTACGGCTTCATTTCATTTGTCATGCGGCTTTTTATTTGATACAGTCATCTGTATATCTACTTAATAGTAATCCAGTTAAATCAGTCAGTTAATACGATAGAGATAGTCAGCAGGAAACAGAAATATGACTCAACTGAGTTCTGTTAATGCAGTCCCCACGTGCTTGGTGATAACGAGTGCTAGACTATTTCTATTATGAACCCGAACTAGTGACAAGTTAAACGTCAGTTAAACCGAGCGGTACATTAAATTAAATGACATTTGTTTAAAGGGTAGCTTGTAGTGCTCACATTTGAATGTTCTTGGTAGGAAACATTTTAACGAATAGCATACTGAGACATATTCAGTCTGATTAGGTGACAGTTAGAGGTTAAAACAGGAAAAAGAAAAAGAAATTAACAAAAGTTAATATGCAGCTGAGAATATTTGTAGTTCAGAATGTGGATGAAAATTGTTAAGTGTTCAGTGTACCTAGCGATGAAACTTCCACTTCAATTTATTGAAAACTCAAGATCAGTCAGTAGAAAAACGAATTATTATTCACCACTTGCCCCGAATAAAAGATACGATAAAGTAGTGTAATTAATATCTTCTCCAGCTAAATGGTATAAGGACAATTTTCCTTATTATGAGCTACATCTTCTAATAGATTATAAAGAAGTAATCTGCATAAATCTTCGATATAATATACATCATGTACTAACGACTTGTCATCTTTTCAGATTTGAAATTAATCAGTTTCAATTTCGAAAGGTACCTACAATTTATTGAACTTTTTGTTCGTTATTTAAGCACCGATAACCTATTGTCACTATAAGTCTACAATTCAGTATTATCATAGCAAGAGGAAAGCAGTTTTATACTTCTTGTTAAGAATTCCTAGGCTGCCTATTGATATCTTGGATTACTCTTGACTGGCGATATTTTTTCTCTGGTTAACAACGTATATTTTATGTATTTCGGTCTTACTGTTGTATATAAACGTCACCTTTTTACCCATAAGAAAATGAATCCTAATATATGTATTGATAAGCAATTATTCTGTGTTCTGATATAAGTGGGAACTTAGGTACGCAATATAGTTCTCAGTAAGCAGTCATCACTCAGCTGCAATTTTAGCTTTTGCTCCGAAGATTCCAATTATATATATATATATATATATATATATATATATATATTCATACACCTTGTAGCTAGTGAGCATAAAGCTGATGTTGATAGTACATTTAAAGTTATTTATCTCATTCATAATAATCTTAATTCTGCTTTACGAATTCATCTTCTACATACAGCTGAAGTCGCAGGAATCCACCTGAAGAAGCCAAACTTGTGTGTTCAGGAGAAATTCGTACAACCACTTCTCTAACCTTGGTCACTCTTTCATAAATGTATAAACTGGACTAATTCACCCTCTCCCTGAGCCTTTTAAAACATATAATTGTCCAAATTATCTTATTATTTTTCTTGACTACTTCATTTTTAATTACAAGTTATCACTATCCGAATAGTTTTGTTTTTCTTTAATTGTCTGTTATGTAATCAACTTGAAAACTCACTTATTCCTTAACTACTTTTCGTTTTTCTAAAATTATGCATTATGCAATTCACTTGGTGTAACCATTTCTACCTTTTAATTGCGTGTATTAATTTTCTTCGTTAATTATAACCCTTTTGACATGCTGATACTCACTGATTATTGTTGACAAACATATCGCCATCAGATTGGTGAATTGTTGTGTATTATATCAAAAATGCTATGTATATTAGAGGAGATCCAGAGATGAGTATCTAATCGAGAAGTAAATAGTCCTCCGCTCAGTCTTTTTGCTTACAATTTTAACTAATGAGGGAGACATGTCAACTAGTATTAGACTTGTTCAGTCTTACATATCAAATAGTTCCAAAGTCACAGCAAATATTCGGTAATATTAAATCATCTTCAGAAGTCGACGGGTGAAATATATAGTGTGACATCTATTGAGAATCTGTTTCCATCACTTAACTTTCCCTTATTTTGAAGAGTCTTCAGTGTTTCAAGAGTTCCTTGAAACGCAGAAGTTTCTGAGTTTGTTCACTCTACTGTATGATGATGACAGCAATTCAAAACAAAAGCCCCATTTGCCTAAAGATTTAAGCCATCTACCTCTAAAGTTTATAGAAATCTTTGCCTTTTTGACAGCTGTTTATATTAAAATCAATATGACAATTAAAAATGATCCTCGACTGTTTCTCTAATACCTTGTTCGTTTTATTAGTATTTTACTGACAGTTAATCTTGACAAAATAAAATATTTACTTCAAATAAATCAACAAACAGATGAATCGATATCTTGGAAAAAATAATTCTCTTTGAGTGGGATACCCCTCACTTCACAGGGAAGTTATTAATCAGATAGCCTTTATGTTGTTTATGCTACCTATGCTGATATTCATCTCACAAGTTGTCAAAGGTTATCAATATTATTTTTATTTAAAAATATAAACAGGTGAACGTGTTCGAAGGTTGAAACGTCAAGCTGAAGATGCTCCGAGTTCTGGAGTAAGTTTTCTTATGATAAATCTGTTTATATAAAAATAATTCCCAGTAATAAATTAATAATTGGCTATCTACACTACCTACACACACAACAGTTTACTCAACGGGATAATCTTATTTTCTAAGTTCACAGTTACATATAATTACGTCAATATTTAGCGTCATTGTTTCAGTGGAGGAATGCTCTCCAGTTGCTCGAGAGGTCCGGGTTCATTTCTCAGCAGATGATGTGCTCCTTATCATCTCCCAGCAGGAAGTAAGCCCGGAAAAGAAAGAAAAGTTGGTGTGAGGCTAGCAATCTCAGTCTGTAAAAGAACAACCCCACAGCTACTGAAATCTTAAGAGCCTCTGGCTGTCTATTACACTTGGCACGCAGTAAAACAAAATAAACGTCAATATTCATTTATCTTTTGAGATTATGACCTGTTAGCAGAAAGCTATTTATTGGGCTACCCTTTTATAACTGCTTGTAAAATGGATAATCAAGCCTCACCTTATTGATGTATATACATCTTATCAATATAAATGTGATGTTTCTCAACCTAACGAATTTATGTTTTAGCCAATGGTTTTCAATTTTGACGGAAACAAAAACTCTGACCACTGAATTATTTCCTGGTATCAAATGCAGCTAATGACTTTGTGCGAGTACAATATGTCATTTCTTCCCCTACATCAGCGTTTATATTCTATCTTAGTCAACCCGCGTCACATGTATTTGCTAACACTAGAAAACATTTAATTCAAGGGATAAAGAAGACAAATTATTTCCTGGGAAGTTAGAACACTGGTCACATTACTAAAAATGACCTTTAGATTGTTGGCAAAAGAAGGTATCCTGTGAAAACATCTTTTCCGAGCATTTACCCGAACTACACTAGCAGTCAACCAGTACTGTCAAATAAAAAACACATGAAAATCACACTGTTACAAAGAATGGAACTGCTCAAAAAGCTTTCTTTGCTTGAGGTTTACTTTTCATAATATTGGCTGTCATAAGGCAGTAAATCCACAGGGTTTACATAAAATGACAGTACAGTTTAGCTCCAAACTGTCTAGGTCCCTATGAGATTAACTGTAGATAGAACACAAATGAAGAGAATTTCTTAGACTGAATACTGCACATTTGTTTCTTTACTGTACGAACTTTCTACAACACACTTCCGAGATTATGAAAAGGGTATATGCGTTTTTTCTTAGCTCCTAACTCATCAAACATTTCATCAATCATATGGTGGACAATTATTGTATGATTGCATGGAGGATTTAATCATGAGCTGACATCAGTTAGAGAACCACTGGAAAACCTGGGAGTACTGGACAGCCGTTTCGTCCTAGTTTGGGACTCCTCAGCAGTACGCACCCACCGGGATTCGAACCCAGGACCTTCTGGTTACAAGGCGAGCTCGTAGACCATTGAGCCACTGGGACCCGATATGCTATTATGATTTCTGTAGGTTCTGAGTGGAACAGAGGTCTTCAGCAGTACATCTCCGCTTTATTCTGTTCTTTATAGTCCTCTTTAGTTGGCTTCACGATCGCTCGTAGGCTCTCATCTCTTTCTAACACAATCTACTTCTAGTTGCCTAAGCCTAATACTTCATTTCCCACTTGGGTTCCACTCGAGGCGCGGCCCACGCTGTCACTTAACGGTTTCATTAGCGACTGTCCGATGCATCTACGTTGTTGGGCAAAAATTTCTTGCAAATTGCAATAAGCAGAATGTGACGTAACGGCGAAGAAAGTTAACTTTTCGACGAATAGCTCCCAAGAGCTGTGTGACTGTATCTACACCTAATAAAAAAATCCAAAATACCAATCGGATAGAGGTAAGTTTGCTATAGAAAAGTGTTACGTAATGTGGAGTATAATTTTTATATAATCATATTCTTTTCCAATTTATTTTACAAAATTATAATTTCGATCCATGTCAGTTGCATGAAAATAATTTATCTTAATTTAGACAAAAGGTCCAGCACCGTTTGGCGTGACAACTTATCGAGTTGGGGCAATGGGAGTTCAAGGAGAACGTGGACCTCCAGGGCCACCTGGTCCAGATGGTCCAACTGGTCCAATGGGTTCAGCAGGACCACCGGGAAAACCTGGAGGGCCAGGAATTCCAGGACCCATTGGATTACCTGGACCTCCAGGAACTGATGGTAAACCTGGTCGAGATGGAGAAGCTGGAAACCCAGGTCCTTCGGGAGAAGTTGGTCCTCCAGGTCCCTCAGGACCCACAGGACCACCTGGAGTGAAAGGACCAGCTGGAGTGAAAGGCAAAAAGGGTGAAAGAGGTGATCCAGGAAGAGACGGGTCTGAAGTGAGTATGAATTAATCACTGCCATTTATTTCATTTACTTCTGGCACATATGGCTAAGATCTCTTAAAAATATTTTTCAAAAAGATAAATTTCAAGGTCAGAATTTCTGGTTGCAGAGTAAACCTGAATTGTCACTTCTACGAAAATCTTAAGGCTGTACGATGTTGTCATAGAAAACTTTATAACTTCAAAGGCTCTAGCATTTCCTGGTTGATATCAGGGTTCAGTGGTAGCCAATACTGAAAAAGTAGCTCGTCATTTCTCCATGAAATTCTGTCTGGTTGAGTAGACATTTTAAAATGGTAAAGAGAACTGCACAAAATGGGAACCATGTATTTCCTTAGCTTTCTTATTTTAGACTCTTACAAGACGTATCTTAGGACAAAAGATAATTCAGGTTGCAATAACTATGGTACCATCTTTGTAAGATATCCATCTGGATTTTTTTTACAATTACCAGCCTATCGTACGAGGCACTTGAATTCGCTCAAATCTAAGTCCTCTTATCTTCACATATAAAATTTAAACTAAATTAAAATTAATTCACTTATTTAGCTTTGGTGAATGTCAGCTTCTTACGATATATGCATAATTAATTATGACTGTAGGCAAGGGTGTTCATAAATTACATTAGCATCAAGGTTTGTGTTCAATAAACTAAGTCAAAAAGGAAAATGTCAGTCATTTTTATGTAAGGAAACTGTGATACATTGACTTTTTGACAAAAACTTTACGTGTCCGTTGGTAAAACTGAAATAGGCTTAATTTTACAGACCGACGGTAACATAATTGGATAAGTGTGGATAAATTTGAAAAGAAAAAATAACTTAGATCCAAGGATAGATGCTTCTAATTCCCCAAATTCACTCATTATTACATTTCTTTATATCAGCTTTTCTAGTTTGTGATAAGTTATCGTTGCTTCAGAAAAGGGTTACATTGATTTGTCTTAACCGTTACAAAATATTCAGTTGTTATCAGAGTAAAATCCAGAACACTTTGAAAGAAAGAGTTCACATTTTCGTTACCACCACAGGAAGTGACTAAAAAGAATTCAAGAAAATTAAGAAATTTTAAGATTTCGATCTTTGACTAGTGAAATAAAAATGTTATATTAGAATTAGAGGCAAACACCCGTTTTCTAATGTCAGCTATGTATCTTCTTGTTTGATGTTAAGAAATTTAATATAACTCCCGCTAATTAAATTTTGATAAGGGTCTTCGTGGAGATGTTGGTGCTCCTGGACTGATAGGACGCACGGGAGCCCGAGGTGGTATTGGACCTGCTGGTCCACCAGGAGCACCTGGTCAAGCTGGCCCAGCTGGAGCAGATGGTCTTCCAGGAGTTCAAGGTCCACCAGGCCCACAGGGTCTGCCAGGAGAACCAGGTGCAATCGGCCCGACTGGTGATCGTGGCGAAGTTGGTGAAGTTGGAATACGTGGAGGAGTCGGTGAACCTGGTAAAGCTGGACTTGATGGAAAGCCAGGTAGACCTGGAGAACAAGGCATTCAAGTAAGAAAATATAATTATGATTTCGAAATGATTTTAACCACTTTGTTTACCTTGTACTGCATCAACAATTTTCACTTTTATTGCTTAATAACTTCAGTGATCTACTTAGTTAATTCAATATTTTTTATAACAGATATCATTGTTCAGAATTTTCAAAATGCATGAAATTGTTATACGTCTTTAATTTACGAGTGAAGAAATAAGGAACTAAAGAATTAACAGTGAGTAAAATATGTATTTGTGTCTCTCAAGTACCAAACAATTTAGTATGAAATATGTGGAATCCAGATGAATTAAATGTGCATTGACAAGTATGTTAAAAAACAAGGCATACTCCACCTACATTGATTAAAAGTCAGTGAAAATCAAAGAACTACTGGAAAGTATCTTGTTCTATGGCTACATTTCGACAGGCCATACATAAACACTTAATAGGCATCAAATATATTAACATTAATCCTTTAGGCTCTGAGTGGAATATGGGGCTTCATCAACACATCTCCACTTTGTTCTGGATTATTGGCCTTATGTATAAAACTCTAGTCAGAATTAAGACGCTAATTGTTTTTTAATCAAAAAAGCTTTCGAAACGGGTGAGATTCTTTGTTAGTTTGGAATCTGCCTTTGAATAGGCTACTGCCCAATTTAATTTTATCTTCCATATATATTTTATAAAAACACTTTATCGTCACTCCACTAGTTTTTGTCCACTTTATACACTAATACTGAATAGTAATTTTTCACACTTATTACGTCATCCCCAATTTCGCCTCCTTTTTCTAATTTCCGATTAGTTAACTACCTCCAGATTACAGCTGACATTATGTGGTAAATTATCTATAACAAATTTAGTGGTATCTGATTGGACTTATGAATGCTTTGTTAAACATAAATACGACACAACAACTTATGAAAGTGTGTCGTCGAAAATTTTTTTATCACAACTTTAATAGCAAGTCCTAAGTTGATGAAAGGAAAGAAGGAGGTTTGGGTGTGGGGCTAGCGAACCCAATCTGGAAAATCAATCAACCTGCTAAAGAAACTTCGATGCGCAATATTAAAAACATAAAAACAAACGTATTCACCACTGTCCTCAGAGAGACGAAACGACGCGAGATGGTGAAAACCCTCGGGAAGCCAGCCAGTCAACCGATGTGTCTTTTACCGATGAAATCAAAAATAAGGATGTGTACGTGGAATGTTAGCACAATGTACAAGGGTGAAACGCCTGCTCAAGTTGCCAAAGAAATGAGAAGATATGGTATAGAAGTGCTAGGAATCTGCGGGAGCAGGTGGAATGGATGTGGACTCCCCAATTTGTCAACTTGAATGTAAGGTCAGTAACCCACTCCGGTCTGGTCACCCAGACGAACACCCACATGAACACACTGAGGCAGTGAGTGTGGCTATCATCATGATGTCACCAACACCAGTCAAATTTCTAATGCATTGGGAACTAATCTCCTCCTGCAGTGTTGTAATGACAGCACGATTCAACTCAAAAAGAAGGAAGCAGGGTTACAATTATCGAATGCTACATGGCTGCGAAAGACGCAGAACAAAAGAAGAAGAAGAAGAGAGATTTCTATAGACGCCTGCAGACATTAATGGCACGTGTCAGTTAATGCACAACGGAAAATTCCACGACGCCACCGAAGTGGATACAAGATCAAGTAAGACAAGACTGTCCACCACCATCACCGATGATAATCCTGATTCGATCGTGGTGGACTGGATGTTGTGGCAGACTGTGTGGAGCGAGAAGACACAAATAGGTTGGATCGATAAGAATACTCTACAAGATTTAGACTTCATAGACGATTTATGTCTAATGTCACACAAACTCGAAGACTTGTAGGAGAAAACCAACAAGTTGGAAGAACAAGCAGTGAAGACAAGACTTCAAGTGGACATAGAGAGAACAGAGTTGATGAAGCTAACCAACCAACAGCGACAACAAACGGCACCGATCGCTACCAACGGAATGAATTTGAAAGAGGTCATTTCCTTCACTTATCTAAGAGTCATCGTTTCAAATAAAAGCGGTACGGACCAAGATGTCTAAACCAGCCAGAATCGGAAGGGCGAGACAGACCTCCATCACACTGAAATCACTTCGCGATTCTTCTGCATTCAGAGTAAAGAACGAAATTCGGATTCCCAACACCAATCTTAAGTCAATTCTTTTATGTGGTTCACAAATGTGCACCGTTCGTCACGAAGAGCGTTTCCAACAGGCCACTGCAGACTTTTGTCACCAGCTGTATTCGCTGCATTTTCTGCTTCAAATGGTCAGCCAGAAATAATCGGAAACAGAAAACTATAGGAACAAACCAAACAAGAGGCCCTTGCTCAGCCAATATGTAGGAGAAAATGTAGTTGTATCGGGGGGACACTGAGGAGATCGTCGAATGACATCGGGTGGGATGCAGGTCATCGGTCAGGCGGAACCCGAATAGGAAACGAGCGGGGCGTTATCCGATGGTGACGTGGAGAAGGTGGTGTGAGGAGGAGATCAGAATCTATGGGCAATTGTGGGGCCAGCTAAAGAGTACTGTAGAGACTAGGTTACAGTGCAAATGTTCTGTTTAAGCGTTATGTTCCACTCGGAACCCAAGGCAACATCAATAGTAATAGTAGCTTTCGAGTGTATTGAACTTGATTTAAGTTTTCAGTAAAGTATTAGTTTTTCCCAGGTAATACGATCTCCTACTTGAATACATAAACGTTTGGTTTATGTTAACATTTTGTTGCTATTTCTATTGCTTAATATGCACTCAACGTATTACTACGCAGCTTATTTGCCATTTACCACTAATTTACACGTTTTTCATCTTTCGTACATAACTCATTTTTAAGTAACTCAAACTTTTGAATTAGCTTGAATCTTCTGTGTATAAGACTTATTAAGTATAATAAATAGCTTTTGAGCCCATTTTGGAGTCCCCCGTTTACTGATATCACGTTACGACTTCAAGTACGACGTAAATTCCCCCGCACATCTGATAGTAGATCCATCGGTTGTATGCAGCTGACAATAAATCAAAAAACAAAAATAATACAGTCTTATTCTGCCCCATCATCTGGTTCTGCTTTATTTTTATTTCATGAAGGGAATGTATACATGAAGCTGGTTAGCTTTCCTACTGACAAATGAGATTTTATCAGTACCGATTATTAAACTGACTTCAAAACTGTGACATGTATCAGGCATCTGTAAAAAAGTGACTGCTGAGAAACATTCTATGGGTTAGGTGATCAACTAACAATTCATGGTGCTGAAAAATATAACAGACCAAAACATGTGGTGCTTAATACTGTAAAATTTCTTTCTCCTCACTATTCTCAAAACAGCGTAACCAAGTTTGTGTTTCAAGCAACACCATAAAGTAAGTTAAATTTAAGATGCCTAGAAGAACACTTTCACAAAGAGATTATTTGTGAACAGAAATATACAAAATTTCAGGTATAATCATTTCCAAGGGATAAGGACATCTTAGAAAAGCCAAAATGTCTAATCAACAAAGCCAGGCATCACTTTATTAGCAAGATATATAATCCAGTGTTTAGAAAAAAGTTCATATATATTCTGCATCACTATGAATTGATAGTATCAGACAAATAGATTAAGAACATAGAAAACAAAAGATGCATAACAAGGTAAAATATGACTGCTTCATCAAACATGACGAATTTAGACTTTAGACACCCAACAAACATAAAAGCACCAATGAACTTGGAACCCTCAGTCACAGCAGGGCAGTGAAATCAGGTAATTAACGCTACAGTCATGAATAAAACTGATGAATTAAGTGTAATAATATTAAACAGGATATCTGGTTATTTTTAGGTTAGGTTAAGGTCAGTGACAGGTTATGATTAGGTTAAGTTAATTAGGAAGATATTAGGGTTGGTTTGGGATAGATTAGTGTTGTAGTTAGGTTTAGGAAAGATTAAGGTTAGGGTTGAGTTAGGGAACTAAATATACTTTTCGTCGTTATGGCTCTTTCCAAGGTCATTGGTGAGTTCCCCCCCCCTTAAGTGCCTAAAGTTAAACTTCGCCTAAAACATATACCTGATAAATGTCCGTCAGACAGAAACTAACAGTGATGACTTATTACAAATACATGTTACGTGAATGTGAATGCTAATCCAGAAGTTGGAATTAAAAGTATATTTAACGTGCTAATCTCGCTCTTGAAAATAACTGATGTATTGTTATTTCATCGATTTTTGTGTACTACTGATAACTTCCATAAACATATATGAAAGAATTGCCTTAGTTTAACACATATATTGTATCTAAGTATAAACGGTACTACTACGTATACTGCCATAGTCAATTTCATCATGAGCCTGAACCGGTGATAACGCCTGAAGCGATACTGAAGACTTCATGGACAAAGCTCAAAGACCAATAAAACCACTAGAATATCAACATCCTGAACTTCAGTTATTCCCCATATATCAATTTCTTGTGTATGAAGGAGAAGAGATATCTGTGATGAATTGCTGTAATAAGTGTTGGTTAATGCACTTGAATCAGTGAAATAGAATGAATATTCTCCTCAGTATAAACTAAACTTTATACTTTTGTATATATATATATATATATATATATATATATATATATATTATATCTGATAAACCTTTTGGCATAGTTGTGTCTGTCGAATTTATTTTAGGGTCAGTCTAATATATGGTTAAAAGAAAGAAATCAGACTGATTTACCTTAAGCCAGAAAATAACTGTGTTCTTCTCCACAGATATCTTTTTACAATACATTGCTTCTTGATATCCAAAGATCTTTTAAGGATTTATGTTTTCGACAATGTCAATGACTGTACAAGATGATGAACAAAATTAAAATGACATTTCATATACGTGTTACTCTTGATAAGTTTTAATAAAGTCAAAAAAATTAAATTTTGTAAATTGAGTATTTCTTGCTTTATAAAAATGACGTCATTATTTACCTGTAGACAGCAGAATTCCATATGATTTTCCAGAGTGGTATACTCTGCAAGACCTTACACTTTCACAATGTCTATATCGTTGCAATAATTGAATAGAATTTTAAAAATTCTCTTTTTATCTCCTACTTTAACTTCTAACTTTGTATTGACAACTTTGAATTATTTTTATAGTCACCTTGTTTCTAATGTACTTTGGTTTATTTTACAATTAATAGGGTCCACCTGGAAAAGATGGTATACAAGGTCAAAAAGGTGATATAGGTTTCCGAGGGCCACTTGGACCAGAAGGTATGCCAGGTCCTCGAGGAGCACCCGGAACATCTGGTTCACCCGGAGAGCAAGGAACCAAGGGATCTGTTGGTGTTTCTGGGCCACCAGGAAATCGTGGACCTCAAGGAAATTCGGGCCCACCAGGTGTTATAGGTCCTCGTGGCTTGCCAGGTACGATGTTCTTGTCTGTTATGAAATTTTCATCATCATCATTTAGCTTCAGAGTTAAACTCAATTAATTTTAAAAAATGATTAAAATTTAATGATAACAAAACTAAAATTACCAATTTTTTTTAGGGCCCGTTGGAGAAATTGGAAAGCCTGGCATTCCTGGTTCTCAGGGTTCACCCGGTGCGAAAGGATCAGCCGGAGCAGCTGGTTCCCCTGGTGCTCCCGGTAGACCAGGTATTGATGGCAGGCCGGGTGTCCCAGGACCTCCAGGGAAAAGTGGTCCAATGGGAAAATCTGGACCAAGAGGAGAACCAGGTCAAGCTGGACAAGATGGAAAGCCGGGAAGAACTGGCCCTCCTGGACCACCTGGAGAAAACGGTAAAGATGGTATTCCTGGGGCTTCTGGCCCTCCTGGACCAAGAGGTTCACCAGGTAAAGCTGGCTCAAGTGGACATCCAGGAACGGTAGGATCAAGTGGACCTCCAGGACCACAAGGTGAAATTGGACAACCAGTAAGGAACGAGGACTGTAATGAGTAATATTAACCCTTTTAATGTGATATCAGAATAACAAGCTTAATTTATTTTTCTATGTCTAGTTATTCATTAAGACAACAGATTTACCGGTAATTTATAAATTAGGAAATTGGGAATGTCCTTTGAGATTTAAATTAAAACTCTAAGGTATTAATTTTTAATGTTAACAGAAACTACAGTAAGTTTCTAATTCAGAAGGCAAAAGAATAAAGACTTCTCTATATATTCAATGATAGAAAGTGCATATAAGTTAACAAACCTATTTTTATTAAGTCAAAGAAAGCGGATCAAACTGATGAACAATGAAGCAATTTATCACATTTTGTACATAAAGCTAAGAGACTTTTTACCTTATTGTCATTTAATATGAAAAGCAGCTGCCGTAAGGTTTTGTTGCCTGATTGCTTCACTATATATGACAAATGGATAAGAGCAGGTACTCTATAATTTTTTGTGGTATTTTTAGGTTTATTTCGTAAAGTAGAGTATTAAATCCTTGTAATTCATGTAAATTAATTTAATAAATAATTTGAATTATGCTTGAAATTTTAGGGTCCTCAAGGTGAACGAGGTCTGCCTGGGTCAATTGGTCCAGCTGGCCCGAAAGGAGAAAAAGGAGAAAAAGGTCCAGTAGGAGAACCAGGTGCACTTGGTGATGCTGGCCCACCGGGACCTCAAGGGAAACAAGGACCGATTGGTGAGAAGGGATTTGAAGGTTTGGTTGGAAATGTGGGTTCACCAGGTTTACGAGGACCACGAGGTGATTCTGGACCACCTGGTGAGCCAGGAAAAGACGGAACGCCAGGAACAGATGCTCCGGATGGTGAAGTTGGTGCACCTGGTCCAGAGGGACCACAAGGACCAGTAGGACCCGTAGGTCCTCCAGGACCTCAGGGTTTACCAGGTACAAAAGGAGAAACTGGTAGCATAGGACCGATTGGAATACCTGGACGTATGGGAGTAATGGTTAGTTATAAAATATTTCATCTCACATTGCTCAGTCAGTTTTTAACTAAAAATAATACTTTACTTTTGATAAACAGTAGTTTTTCTCTTAAATAATCGATTATTATGAACTGAGGCAATGGAACTATCTGGTCTCCAAAAGAATTAGTGGAAAATAGAGTGACTTAAGTTATCTACAGATATCAATCACTTTCTCGATGAAGTAAATCATTCATATCTAAATACACACCTGTGTAACAACCTCTGAATGTAAGAAGAACATAAGGAAAGATAATAAAGGGGGAAAGATTTGATAGTAGTTTATCGAATGACAGATATATTAAAACTAAAAGGTGAATTGTTCTGTGTGATATTATTTCATATCCATGTATTTTGATTTCTTTTTAGGGAATACCTGGTGCTCCAGGACCATCTGGACCAACCGGGCCACCAGGTTTCAAAGGTGATCGGGGTATTTCTGGAGTGCACGGTACACCAGGAAAAGATGGACAGCCTGGAAGTCCTGGACCTGTTGGTGCTAGAGGTCCACCGGGTGCTATTCAAATGGGTGGAAGATCAGCAGGAATTGTGGGGCCACCTGGACCGATTGGAGATGCTGGAGCACCTGGGGAGGCTGGAATTCCTGGATTAGCTGGGCAGCCAGGTCCGGCAGGCCTTCCAGGTCCAAGTGGGACACCTGGAAAACGTGGGCCAACTGGTTCTGCTGGACCACCAGGAAGTCCAGGTCAGAATGGTCGCGCAGGAATGCGAGGTCGGGCAGGTAGTCCAGGTCAACTCGGCGGGCAAGGCCCTCCTGGAGTGCAAGGTCCTGCTGGTGCCCCTGGCGTCAGGGGACCACAAGGCCCTCGTGGTCTTCCTGGTCGTCAGGGTACGCAAGGTTCCCCAGGAAAGGCTGGGCTGAGTGGTCCACAAGGTGAAACTGGCTTACCAGGAAAACCGGGGAAACAAGGTCCAACAGGATCACCTGGACCGGCTGGAAAGGATGGTGACCCTGGAGAACCCGGTCCCCCTGGAGCAATTGGTGAACCTGGAGATACTGGCGGTCCAGGAGCTCCTGGAAGAGATGGGTCGATTGGAATGATTGTAAGTCATCAATAATTTTTCGTAAAATTTTGTGAATATTGTGGAATTCGTAATCACTAAAATGAGGTCACATTAGTACAGGATAATAGATATGCATGAGTAACCATAATAGTTTTTAATGTTCGAAAGTTAAATATTATCTTGAGATCTATCGCGATACGATTAAAAACATTTTAGACGACTCTCCCCTAAATAAGAAGTTGATACTAAAGTTCATATTGGGATATTCTATTTATGTGGTCACTAAAATGTCACACTTTTCCCCACTAATTTCATGTATTTTCTCAGCCATTATGATATCATGAATATCGACAGTAGTAGTGTGCTATAAACCAAGATGTAAATCAGGTTAATTTTTCAAACCACTACTACACTAATGACTGTCAAGGCTCATGTGATGCAAGAGAATCACCTAAAGTAGCTAGCTCTTCTAGTGTTCGAAGTCCACATGCTTCTTGGATAACGTTCATGTTAACTAACTAGTTTGAAATAATGTTTTCTGAGATGTAGACCAAGCGAACGAATATCGGCATGCTTATCACGAGGCCTGACAGTCCTAAGCTCCAGCTGCTGTGTCAGAAAATTAGGTCTGATAGAGTAACATATCATTAAATCTTTGTAATCATGCTGAAATTCTCAATTTTCACACAATCAATTCCCTTAATTAGTGTGAACAAAGAAAGAACGAACAGATTTGCAGACAGAATAATACGGAATCCTTTTATTTCGTGGATTTTTTTTTGACTGCTTACACGCTAAATAAGTCAGTTATATGTTCCAAAATTTCCTGTATATATAATTGATCTATTTAAGATGTACGCATTAGAAGAGAATCCACGAAATAAGATGAACTCGTATTATCCTCTCTGTAAATCTATCCGTTCTTTCTTTATTCTTAATTTTGTTAACGCTGAAGAAATATAATCATTATTTATGTTTTTCATTTAGTCGAAATTTATCTAACACAAAAGCATAATTGTTTAGTAACCTTTTGAAGGCAGAAATCATATATAACATTAATTGCGAATAAAATAAACCTATCAATTTGAGTAGAAATGTTAAATGAATGACTGCATCTTAAGGGAGATAGCTTCATTTGTTCAACTGATATCAATTTTATTTGCGTAAACGTAATCAGGCATGATTATTGTGTTTCTAATGTTCTGTAATCAGTATCTTCTCGACTGCTTTTATTTCAAAAATAGGGTATGCGTGGCTCTTCAGGAGGACCTGGACCGAGAGGACCACCTGGCCCACTAGGCCTAAGCGGCCCACAAGGAGCAGCTGGACCAAGCGGCCCACAAGGTGCTGAAGGACCAAGAGGTTCAAAGGGCGTAAAAGGACCACCTGGATCGGAAGGACTTGAGGGACCACCTGGGGAAGATGGTGGACAAGGCCCTGAAGGATTAGCTGGACCAGTTGGTGAACCCGGGCTTGATGGGCCCAGAGGTCAACGAGGTGCTCCGGGTCCCACAGGCCCAGTTGGAGAAGTAGGACCACCTGGTCAAGATGGTCGTCCTGGACCACAAGGAGAACGTGGTGTTTCTGGAAAGCCTGGCCTTCCGGGACCACCGGGAGCAAAGGGAGTTGAAGGAGAAATTGGTGCAGATGGACAAGATGGGTCCAGTGGTCTTCCTGGAAGTCCAGGTGGTAGAGGTCACCCAGGATGGTCAGGACCCCCAGGTCCACCAGGTCCTCCCGGCCCTGATGGTGTACGTGGCGACCCTGGTGAAATTGGTTATCCTGGAAATCCAGGACCGGCAGGTGAAAGTGGGCCTATTGGTGAGAGTGGAGCTAAAGGCCCTAAAGGACAAAGGGGAGAAACTGGACTACCTGGTCCACCAGGACCATCAGGTCGTGATGGATCCTCCGGACCTCCTGGACCAATGGGACCCCCAGGGCCTCCTGGGCCACCTGGAATGCCATCTGTACAACTACCAATAACCAGTCGAAACACAAAGGCAGGAAATATTTATGCTGATGATCCATTGGCAGGAAAAATTATGGGAACATATGAACCTCCAAGACCCAGAGGAACAAAATCTTCTCCAGCAGTAACTTGTAAACAGCTGGGAGAATACAATAAAAATCTACCGGATGGTAAGTTAGCGAAAATATTTTGTCAACATTTTAGGTATTATAAATAATAAAGTTATATTATAAATAATGTTTGTAAACCAAATGAATCAAAGTTTACCTTCCATCTACTTTTTTTCCTTTCACGTTCCCCAGTAGAACATAGGGCTTCAAGCTAGTGGCTTGAAGTTTCTGTAGCAGTGCTTATTTTACAGGATGGGGTTGCTAGCCTCATGCCCAACCTTTCCTCTTTGCCAGTATTATTTCTGGTTCAGCGAGGTAAAGGAGTGCGTCGGCAGGGAATTGAACCCCAGACCATGTTCATGGTCGGCGAGAGTCCTAACCGCTATGCCTGATAATTATAGGTCCCTTATAAAATAGTTGATAGTAATACATCAAGTGAAGTTCGTCTAACACTTGGATTTATAAGACACCCAGAGGATGATGACTGATTTGTCTGTGACCATGGGGCGTAATTATCCATCTCCATTTATACATATGGACCGTACTAAAAGGGTGTATTAGTTCCGTGTACCTCTTTATCGAGAGCTGTTCATATCTAATTAAATTAAATGAAGTAAATAATCCTATAATTTTTCCAAACATAACCAGAAAGCTTGGTATTAACTAATCTAGAAGTCTTCATAATGATAATAGTTTTAGTTATATTCGTAAATATTCCAATTCCTAGAGAAATCAAAGTTCAAAGATCTACAAAATTATCAGAATATTTTAGAATTATGTATAAAGTGTATGATTTAGATGACTACCAGACTTCATGACATCATTCCATTCGATTAAGTAGACAAACTAAGAGAATAGATAAGACTGGAACGAAGTTTTCTCACACGCCGAAAATGAAAGAAATGCTCAAAACACAAACATTTAAGTAGGTTAGACATTAATAGAATACAAGGGATTTTCATAAATAAATATTTTACCGTTCACTTAGATACACACCAGTTGAAAATTAAAAGCAATGAAAACTTAAACATCAAACAAAATTACTTGGTAAATCCTATAAGTTTCATACTTTAAATGTATATTATAATGACAACTGTGTACTCAATGTAAAACTACATTAATTAATAAAGAAATTAAGAATGCAACTTGTATTATTTGAACTACGGTACCTTGCACTGGAATCTAAAGTAGGCGTTTCGTCTTACCCGGGACTCTCGCATGTCTGATGTACCTATATGCCAGATAATAATAATGTTTCTGCTGAGGCTCGAGCCCAACTAGTCTAGTATGAGCTAAATGGTCGTTTGCTTGGCTAACACCATGACTATTTTACACTCGAGATCTCGGATGGTATAAGGGAGAATTCTGAACTAGAAAGGAACAGTTTCTAAGCTTCCAATACTTTTCAAAGTGATACTGATTCGTAACAAGTTTACTTTGATAAGCATTAGAAAGATGACGGAAACTGTATGAATTCCTCTTGACGATTCCAGTTTTTTGACTGAAAAGGAAAAGTGATTTCATTATTTTTTTCCTGCATGAAAAACATGAAAAAGAAAAATTGATATTTAAAATATGATGCTTAACAACCTACTTGTCTATTCATCTCCATTGTAACAGTAGTAGATATTTTCTGATGCGTGTATTTTAAACGATAAAATCTTTGAACTTTTAAGATAATACATTTGTTCGTTAGATATAACGCAGAATGAAAATATACCAGTCACAGAATAATTTTTCGAATGCAGTTTCACATCAAGTTAATTTAGTATCTTGAAAATATGGTTTTCATAACTGTCGTCCTTTGTATTTGTCTTCCTTAGAAGTAAGAGAACCTTCTAAGGGTCTGATATGGGTAGCTAGTCAGTGCTTTTTCCTAAAGTACTTGACTAAGACTCAATAAACAAACATAATTTTCTATCGATTTCTTCGAATAACATAATAATAATAACAATAGTATAAGTATTTAATAGGTGGATGGCGACTAGCAGTGGAATCCAGGACAACGCGCATTTCGTCCTATTTGGGACTCGTCACTGGACGTGCCTTCACTTCTTAATGAGTGATGATGTTCCCACCGAGGCTCGAACCCAGTTCCCATAGTTTCAAACACTAGTCAAAGCGTTATCCACTAGACCACGTGGGCCACGAGAGACACCTCTTGTGAAACGGGTCATATTAATTTAATTGAATTTTTGATTTTCCCATCGACTGATTGGACCGAAGTGCTCGGTGTCACGTTGACATGTCGGCTTCTTGTGCAGATGCTTCGACGATGTCTGGGTATTTAATTATGGGCACTGGGTTCGAGCCTCGGTGGGAACATCATCACTCACTAAGAAGTGCAGGTACATCCAGCTGATGAATCCCAAATACGACGAAATGCGTATCCTGAATTCCACTGCTAGTCACCATCCACCTATTAAGCACTAATTAAATGCCCAGACGTCATCAAAGCATCTGCACAAGAAGCCGACATGTCAACCTGAAACCAAGCACTTCGGTCCAATCAATCGAAGGGAAAATCAAAAATTCAATTAATATAAAAACAATAGTATTAGCAGTTTAAAATTAATTCCCTTTTGTTTTACGGAACCTTCTTCACCATTTAAAAATTCAAATGGTTATATAAGAAATACCATCAAATAACAAATTATGAGAGTTAGAAACAGAAATGTTCCACACTATGGCGAAATTTAACACAATTAAATTTTGATCAAAGTGAAAATATTTTTAAAAACTAGGATGTGGAGTATTCTAGAAGTTGGAAGTAGACAGTTACTTAACATTAAGAAACAAAAGAATAATTAGTCAAATTGACAAATGGGCAGGATTTATGACGTAAAGGCAACAGACAAAAGGCTGATTTTAAGAAGTATGTCTACAAAGCGTATAACTGCAGATGAAGTGATTTGTTGATAAATGGCTCCTTGTGAAAGCAGAATTAAAAACGTTTGTATATATCTGGTAAATCTGTAGTATCATGTGACTTGATATCTCTCTAATCATAAGTGTATCTGTTTTTGAAGCGGCAAGTGTCACGCATTAGTTTTTATAAGATATCTAAAAATAAAAAATCTGTTCACCATGAACTACGAAATTATTGGAAGGCTAAAATACTTTTTAATTCTACCCGAATCTATGATATTTGGATTCAAGATACTTCATTTAAGAGGAGACATATTTCTTGATAGTCATCAATAGGACATTCCTGTAACTCCAAGGAACTTGAACCTCATTCAATCACTTTAGAGACTTTACTTCTAAGTTGTTTGCTAATCCCAACTATGAAACTTATCTTGATTTTAAACACTTTCTTGGTCAACTAACAATCCTACTTAACATTTCATTTCAAGGTTATTATTGGATTGATCCAAATGGACATGAGATTAATGATGCCGTACAAGTCTACTGTAAATTTAAGACAAGTGAAACATGTATTCGATCAAAACAGGAAGCACTAGACATCAATTATCCAGAAGACTTGAATTCAACTGAAGCAGAAAGTAGCTTAGATGGTCAGTTTTATGAAGTAAGTCTTATTGAAATTGACTGATTCTCACAAGGAAGTATTATTGAGCTTACTTTTTGTATGGTGTAAATTGTGTTTCAACATAATATTGAGTATAAGAACCAATAGTTCAGAGAAGAGTCTCTTTTCGGCGAATTCATTCACCTTGCTGTACAATCGCAATTATGTATAATTATTTGTGTGTGCGTGTGTTCACATCATATTTACCAGACAATAATAAAGATTAGTTAGGGTTATTGTTTACGTCATCGAAATGTTTCAAAAAATGTGATGAATAATCAAACTGTAACTACAGTGTGAAGATTAGTAAGTACTGACAAGCGTTACGTAATATGAAACACCACGAAAAATAAGATGTTAATGAAAGAAATTATGCAACAGGCAGACAGAGTAAATAAATGGTTAGTTAAGTAAAAGGCATTACTAAAACATCATGCAAAACATCCACAAATAGTACTGGTATCAAAGTAGTCGAACTTGGAATTATACCCAGAGTAGAAGGAGGGGATAGAAAAGTTGCTTCTGTGTACATAAATCAGGGTTTTCCATCAGATTCGCTAAGGCCTCGGCAATGCACGTTATATAGAAACTTACTGTTTTCGGGAGGCTTCTTCGGACTTTTTAGATGACTTTGAATGAATTCCCCTTTACATATTGAGTGAGTGGTGTTGAATATATGTTCATGCATTTATTCCCCTTGATGAATTTGAATAAAGCAAGAACAACAGTGGTTTGTGCAGAGTAATATGGTACCATTATTGCTTATTTCGTTGGCTTCTCATCAGCTGCTTACAGCCCAAATAAATAATGAGGTTTACGTAGAGAAAAGTTTTAACATACTTGCAAATTTTTCATGATGTCATTTGACAGAAAGTTCCGCAATTAGTGAACAGTGCTCAGAAAATTGCGCTTATATAATTTTTACACAGACATTTCAAGTTTAAACAAATTAAATGTATGCATACACTGGTAGAGGAGTTATGTAATAAAGACGAGAGATGCGTAAGATGCTGAGTGACTAATAAATTAGGTAACAATGTTCTGAGTTCATCTCAGACAAGAGAAAGCGAAATTCCACTATTTCAAAGGGGTGAGGTTAAAACCAAAGATTACTTATTCAAAATGAAAGAAAGAACAAAGATATCCAATTACCATGGAAAGAAAAGACTAGTGACTGCTTCTTTTTGAACACATAAATCTGGTTTCAAGCGTTTGATATAAATTGCTCCGGCAAACTTGAGGAGAATCGAGCTCTTTCGTCTATTGATAATTTTATAAGATTTCGCGATTTCCACCTCATGACCTGTATCGAGGAGATGTCTTTTAATATCGCTATTATAAGAGTTTGTTCCCTTGAGACCCACGTTCAGAAAATCGGAGTTGTACCCTTCTTTCTGTTCCACCAATGTAACTGCTCCCGCAGATACACGTAAATTTGTGTACACAGTTGGAGTTGACATGAGAAGGGTATCTATCGACTTTTGACTGTACCAAAGAGCATGTTGTTCGATGGATGGGAACCAATTCAGCTGCAGGATAGGCTCTGGCTAGTGACGTACTCAGTCTTCTGTTGATCATTGCTGCAATGTTTTCACCTTTAAAATCTACTTGAATGACAACAGACGCTTTTTCAACTGTGATTTGTTTGATGTTTCAGCCTTCACATCATTCATATTTGTTAATGAATCTTTGAAGATAACCGTTGTTTTTCAACACTTTTTCGAGAATCGTAAATTCTTCCTCTACTTTCTCTGCAAAGCCAACGGAATAAACGGTGGTACCATATTATTCTGTGCAAACCACCGTTATTCTTGCTTTATTCAAATATGTTTTCAATTATAGCACTCCTTATTGATCCACTGTTACCTTTACCTAACCAAGCGGGATAATAATCGTTGACGTTTTTAGATAAAACACGCATCGAACGACCTGTATGTATCTCTCTCCACACAAGCAAGTGAATCGGCAGATACGTATAGACACACTTAATATCGAGTCTCACAAAAATGTGATTTCCAAGAGTTGCTTTGTAAGGATTAGATTTGTTTATACGAGTTTGACCACGGATTGATATCAGTTAGAGAACAGTTGAAAACCAGTAAGTATTAGACAGCTATTTCATCATAGTTTGGAAATCATCGGCAGTACGCACCCATACTACGGGGTTCGAACCCAGGACCTTCCGGTTACAAGGCAAGCTTGTATACCATTCAGCCACTGGGACCCGATTCAATGGCCCATGAACTCTAACTTCTACCAATTCGTGATTTAGCGCGACCACCAGCCAGTGTCATCGGTGGGACATCCATCCTCACACTTGAGTGGATGGACTTCATTGGTCACTACTTCTCACTAGAACTCCAGGGAAATCCGCGGTATAGCAAGCATCCGATTAATTTTCAGGAGTTGGTATACGAGCTTGCCTTGTAGCCGAAAGGCTCTGGGTTCGAAACCCGTAGTATGAGTGCGTACTGCCGATGGTTTCCAAACTATGATGAAACAGCTATCCAGTACTCTCTGGTTTTCAACGGTTCTCTAACTGATATCAATCCGTCGTCAAATTCGTATAAAATAAACCCTACACATTAAACCCATTTATGCATGGAAATAATGAATTAAAAGGCATGAAACTTTGACACAGGATACCTTTCTCTGACGTGTGACGAAAGTATCTCTCGATTTCAGATTTCCGCATCAACAGAGTAATTTAACTACATTCTATACACGTATTTATCTAGGTCTTCTAACCCTAACAGTAACCGGAATCTTTTCTTAACCTAACCATAACTTCAAATACCCCTAAACTAGCCCTAATCTAACTCGAACCAACCCTTATCTCGCTCCATTTAGGTTAACCTAACTCCATCTCGCCCTTAGCCTAAACCTTGACATTTCCTAAAACTAACCTAAAACTTATCAGATATCCCGTTTAATTTCATAACACCTCATTAAACATATTTATATTTACGATTACAGTATTATTTACCAGGCCTCACAAACTTGCTCAGTGAGCTTTTCAAAGTCATCAGAGCAGTCACACACCACTGTTATTTACAAATGCTTAAAGTTTAACCTGGCCCGCAAGATTAGCAATCTGTCACCACCCTCTCCTCAGTTGACTACAAACTAGTAAGTGTAGATTATCAAAAGGTGAATAAACTGCCTTATTTAACTGACCGATCACTAGATAGAAAATAATGTCATGCGTTTAGTCCTCGGTATTTATGCTGACTGAATTATATATGTCAAGTTTGCAATGTGGTTACCAAACTAGGTGATTCATAATTGCAGTGCACTCTGAAATTAGTGTTAGGTGTACCTGGGTCTCTGGCTGAAGCACTGGAGGAAGTGGGTTCCAATCCCATAACCGACACCAGTTCCTTCAGTTTTGCAGATACACATTGTTAACGAGTACCAACAAGCATGAAACTAAGGTTCATGACTTCCTGCCGATTGCCTCCAACCATTTGATATCATATTATTATATTCCAGAAAACTTTAGTCGTTGTGAAATAGACTTATGATGTTAGAAACTTCAAAAATTTTGATAGAAACTATACATCAGAATGACGGCTCGTAAATTTTGCCAGCAATCTAGAGCAACTGAATGAATATACTACTTCGTTGGCTCAAAAAATCCTGTTTTCTTTCATCTTAAAAATTTCACTTTTATCAGCTGTGATGAAAAATTATGCAATGACTTCGCAGAATTATGTAAACCTTAACAAGTTTTAACTTGCCTTAATTTAATGGCCATGTTTCTTAAATTCTGGGTAAATAGTTTGCTTACTCATAAGTAGTAAAACGTAAAAAGATAAATAAATGTTTCATGCGTCAGGTTCCATTTATTAGTCTGAACACAAAACAGAACGAACATATTTGCAGACAGGATGATACGAGCTTGTTTTATTTCGTGGGTTCTCTTCAATCGCTTACATCCCAAGTAAATCAATTTTATGTTACATAATTCTCTGAACATACGTTTCAGTGACTTCAATTTATGCATAGGAAGTATAGGCAACATAATTTCAACGATGATGTAAGCAGACAGTTATTTGGTGTTAAAAAGAGTAACAACAAAGTTAGTTTATACATGTTATAGTGGAGATTTCAAGATGGTGAGATGAATATTGAGATAAATTTATATAAAAGGTAAAATGATTTAATTTAGTGAATTTGGAACCTTAATAATGAGTTCAAATCAGTAATTGAAAATCGAAATCCAGTTTGAGTGGAATGTTATGCAACAGAACAGAATATTCAAGTATTGGTTTGTAGGGATTTGGTTGATTGTTTACAGGACTTTATCATAAGCTGACATTGGTTAGAGGCCCATTGGAAAACCTGGGAGTACCGGACAGCTGATTCGTCCTAGTTTGGGACTCTTCGGCAGTACGCAGTAGGTGCAGCAGGTTGGATGTGAGGACAAATACTCGACGAAGACATTCGCTAGCGGTTGCGCTATATCGTGAATTGGCAGAAGTTGGAATTCATGGGCCATTGGATTGGGTCCCAGTGGCCTAACGGTATACCACCTCGCCTTGTAACCAGAAGGTCCTGGGTCCGAATCCCGGTGGGTGCGTACTGTTGAAGAGTCCCAAACTAGGACGAAACAGCTGTCCCGTACTCCCAAGTTCTCTTATGGTTCTCTAACCAATGTCAGCTCATGATGAAATCCTCTAACAGAACAGAATATCAATGCCCACAAACAAAACAATTGCGGTTACCAGGGTAGCGAGAGATTAGTCACACTACCTTTCTGTATGCATAGGTTGGGTTGAAGTCTTTTGGTAGTAGTAGCTTCTGCGAACTGAAGTAACCATACTTTTCCTTGCGTATTGATTATTTTGAAAGCCTGATTAATTTCTACTGAATGTCCCGTGTCAATAAGGTGTCTGGCGATTGCGCTTGAAAACACTTTACCGCCTTGAAAACGGAAACTTCTAGGGATATGCTTGGAGAATCTAATAGACGCTCTTCTCTCAGTCCTTCCTATTTACTTTCCACCGATAGGCTCTTTTCGATGACTGTGAGTTCCTCTTCGATCTTATCTTCTGAACATAACACCCTGGCTCTGCTGAAGGGCTTTTTCACCAGGCTCCTTATACAGTTGATCCCGTAAAAACTGTGATAGTTAGAGAATTGGCCAGCTGAAGTTTCTTTCCTGCAGAAGGATTTTTCACTCTTCCAACCGTTTCTTCTTTTTATGTTGAGATCCAGAAAGTGAAACTGATTATCACGTTCATGGTCTATTGTAAATGTTACATGATGGTGAGCCGCACTGAGGTTTTCAAACAACGTGGATACGTGATCCATATTGTTCTAAACTACAAACATCTCGTCAACATACCTGAAGTAACAGGTGGTTCTTTCTGTTTCCGGCTTCATTCGTGTCTGTTCAAGATGAGTCATGATTATGTCTGCTAAAACAGAATCCAAAGGTGAATCCATAGCCACCCTGTCTGTTAGCCGGTACAACTGGCTGTTGAATTGGAACTGAATATTCCTTGTACAAGGAAGTAGTAATTTTCGTAGCTCCTTTTTAGGAAAGGGAAGCAGTTCTGATTGCTGGCAAATGCCTGTCACTGCCTCTTCAGTGGGTATGCTAGTAAACAACGAACAAACATCATATGATACGAGAAGTGTGTTTTAAATATTCAGTTGTTCTAATCTTTGTGGGAATTGGAAGGAACCCTTGATACTGTGGACATCAAACTTTTGTCGAGTTGGTTCCATCCTTTGAGCCAACCATCTGGCCAGTTTATAGCACGATGATTTCACCAGTAACATTATAGGTTTTAATGGCACATCAGGTTTGTGGACTTCGGGTTGACCATACATGAACGGCAGGCGTGATCCTCTTGCTTTAAGGTCATTAAAGGGGCTGTTGTCGATTAGTCCTTCCTCAAGCAGTACATTGAGATGTCTGTTTACTATGTTTTGGAAAGATGTCTTGTTTTGAAGTCACTGTAAAAATTATTTTCAGAAAATTATATGACATCTAACTGATTTACTTAGGATGTGAGTCGGTGGTACAGTGGTTAGGACTCTCGCCGACCATGCACATGGTCCGAAGTTCGATCCCCTGCCGACGCACACCTGATATCTATAGTCGGCCTGCAAAATTTGGGCTACCGATATCTATGCTGAAAATTCCATACTTGTACCAAAAATACTGTGTGGAATCAAGCTGTAATCAAAAATAAAAAAAATGTAAATGTTCTCTAACTAATGTCAGCTCATGATGAAATCCTGAAACAAATCAAATCCCTACAAACCATCACTTGAAAATGTAAATAGTTGAAGAGAATCCACGAAATACAAAGAGGTCGTATTATCCTGTCTGCAAATATGTTCGTTCTTTCTTTATTCAAAATAAATAAAATGTGTATGAGCCACTGTCAATTGCCACATTTCTATAGACTTAATGCTGAGTAGAATTTAACTATTCTGGTTTTTATTTGATGTATTTCATTTCTTTTTAGTTTACGTATGAAATGGAAGGAAACCAACTGGAGTTTCTAAAGCGTCATAGTATCACTGGGACACAACAAATCTATGAAGATTGTTCCAAATCAACTGGAAGATTAAAAACTGTTGAGCTAATTACACAAGCTATTACATTATATACGGACAGTGGAAGTGAACTATCTTATGATCATCCTCATCTTGGATATGAGCTTATTCAGAATAGATGTCATGTATGTTTATATGTTTTTCATGATGCTGTAAATGATGAAATCAAATTTTCAGGATTCCACTTAATTCACAGAATACAGGTTTGATCACCATCGGAAAACCAGGAAGTACTGGATAGGTGTTTCTTCCAAGTTTGGGAAGGTTCATCAGTATGCAACTACTGCTGAAATATCTCAAACTAGGGATGAAACACCTGTCCAGTACTTCCTGGTTTTCCAGTGGCTATTTAACTGATCTCAGCTCATGATCAGACTTGTGAACAGTCAAATCTTAACAAACCAACATAAAAATTCATAGATTCTTAGTTAATTCCACCGACTGTGTAGCGTAGTTGGGCCGAAGATAACCACTTTTAACATACAGTGGAGTTGCTCAGGAAACAGATTAAACCTACAGAATATTATGGTTTCAAACGAGAATGTAACATTATCAACTACTTAGGCCACTGAGACTTTGTTATCGATAATATTTGTATTGAAATACTTGGTTCTGTGGCAAACATAGGTTGACTCTCCTTCCTCACAGTTACTGATTTCAAAAGAATATCCTTTAAATCAAATGTGCAATTCACAAATTATATAAGCCTAAACTCAAGTAGTTTGATCTGATTCGACTGTCTGAGTTTAGTCAAACTGGGTACAGTACTGATGCTTTTGGCTTCATAAGGATGAAATAGCTGTCTGGTTTTTTAGATCATTCTGACCTGGCTAGCAAGCACTACCGATTAGTCTGAGTGGTATCCAACTAATCATATTAGTCAGTCAGTAGTATTATACAATGATGCAAGAATAAACTTTGTTTTAGAATGTGAGAAAACCATTCATCACTCACTTCATGTAAGTCAGTTATACATAATTTCAGAGCGTACAAGATTAATATGTTGAAAGGCTGACTAATTTATCTTAGATGGGTTACAGGATTTCATCATGAGCTGACATTGGTTAGAGAACCATTGGAAAACTTGGGAGTACTGGACAGCTGTTTCGTCCTAGTTTGAAAGTCTTCATCAGTACGCACCCACCGGGGCTAGAACCCAGGAACTTCAGGTTACAAGGCGAGCTCGTATACCATTAAGCCACTGGGACCCGATCCAATGGCCCATGAATTTTACCTTCTCACTTCTATCGGGTGTGAGGACAAATACTCGCCGAAGACATTGGCTAGCGGTTGCTCGATATCGTGAATTGGCAGAAGTCAGAATTCAAGGACCATTGGATCGGGTCCCACTAGCTTAATGGTCTACGAGTTCGTTGGCCTTGTAACCAGAATATCCTGTATTCTAACCCTGGTGGTGTGTGCGTACTGCTGAAGACTCTCAAACTAGGACGAAACAGCTGTCCAGTACTCTCAAGTTTTCCAATGGTTCTCTAACCAAGGTCAGCTCATGATGAAATCCTGTAACCAATCAACCAAATCCCTACAAACCAATACTTGATTATCTTAGATGATACGATTATTCTGAAAAGCAAAGGCAATATTGATAATATTAGTCACAAAATTAGCTTTCCTAAAATCTGTGAATTAAAGTGCTCATTAAAACAATTAGTATCTTTGATAAATTTGAAAAAGGCATTTAGAAGACAAATTTAGCGAGATGATATCATTTCGTAGTACCTTAACAACCGCATTACGACTTACATGGTTCACAATAATAAAATAAAAGGCATGACAATTACTCAGTTACATAAAAAAAAGTACATACTGATGACCAATCATATTTAAATAGGTCAAGTAATCCATGGTAGGCAAAGATTGAGGTCTATTGTTTTTTGTACACATAGTTTAGGATGTATGTGATTAATCCAAAGTGCTTCCATCACCTTCAATAAGCTTGAATTAGAGTTACGTGATGAAATATTTGAGAAGTAGTCATTAATATTGACTATGTTAGTTGTAAAGCAATTGTACAGAAACTACGAAATGGTATCATCTCGCCAAATTTGTCTTCTAAGTGCCTTAAATTAAAGGGCCCATTGATAATTCCATCCTTTTCTTTTGAATCAAGGCCATGCGTTCACTGCTATTGAGCTGGTTAGAAGGCTGAGTTGTAGGCCATATTGAAATTCCATTTATCTGTTGTATTTGTAAAAACACGCGATATTATCTTACCAAGCTTAAATCACGAAACATCATCATTTTCTTGTAGCTAAGTGTAAAAGATTGAGTAAAATACTGAAAACTATTTTTTTTTCATCGTTACAATACTCCTGATGAGTTAGCTTGATTTCTAAATGGAATTAATCTTTGAATATTTCAATGCATAAAAACAATACGTATACCATATGAACTTTCTAACCACTTGACCCCTTAATCATTGTATATCATTGAAGAAGGCAATATAGATCAGTGGTCTCTTATATACGTCTACATATATATTGACTGTGAGACATGTCTGTTATGTGCAATGGTTAGTGTATTGTTTGAGATCAGATGTCTAACTCACTGACCAACAAGGCATATGATTCCTTATGATTTGACAAAGAAGTCTACAGTACATTTGTACAGACAAAACGATTTAATTTTCAAAGTCTTCTGTGGTAAATAACTGCCAGTTATAACAGAAAGACACAAGGTAGGTTAAGTCAGTAGACAGTGATCCAAGCTTAGTTTTCATTAAACAAAATTCTGACTTTCATTTTCATTGTCTTCACATTTACCTGTATTGTCTATTATTAACGATTATTAAGGAGAGCTATATTAGTGTACCAAACAAAATAAATGTTTGCAGCTTTCATATTTACTGCCTGACGCTCACTAGCGACTGGCCCTATTCAGGCAGTGACGTGGGGTTCCAGTGAAAGCCGTGACCAGTAGAGTACAGCAGGTTAAAGATGAGGCAGTAACTCATCAAAGAAGAATTCATAGGCCATTGGATCGGGTATCAGTGGCTCAATGGTCTACGAGCTCGCCTTATAACCATAAGGTTCTGGGTTCGAACCTCGGTGGGTGCGTACTGCTGAAGCGTCCCAAATTAAGACAAAACAGCTGTCCAATACGCCATGGTTTTCCAGTGATGCTCTAACTGATGTCAACTCATGATGAAATCCTCCATCCTACCTGAGATTAATTTAATTTAGGCCTTAAGAAAACACGATGTTGGTTAGGACAGATCCAGTGAAGATTAGAATGAATTACAATGACAATTTTCTATAGTTTGGTTTGCAAGGGTTTTTTATGTTTTCACTAGTTGATCACGGATTGATATCAGTTAGAGAACCATTGAAAACCAGGGAGTACTGGACAGCTGCTGTTTCATCCTAGTTTGCGAATCATCTTCAGTACGCACCCACTGCCGGGGTTCGGACCCAGGACCTTCCGGTTACAAGGCAAGCTGGCTCGTATACCATTCAGCCACTGGGACTCAATTCAATGGCTCATGAATTCTGATTTCTATCAATTCATGATTTAGCGCGACCCCAACCATTGTCGTTGGTGGGACACCCATCCACACACGTGACATCTAATTGGACCTCACTGGTCACGACTCCTCACTAAAACTCAGGAAACTCCAACCTGTAGTAAGCTAGAATTCATGAGCCATTGAATCGGGTCCCAGTGGCTGAATGGTATACGAGCTTGCCTTGTAACCGGAAGGTCCTGGGTTCGAATCCCAGTGGGTGAGTACTGCCGATGAGTCCCAAACTAGGATGAAACAGCAGCTGTCCAGTACTCCCTGGTTTTCAATGGTTCTCTAACTGATATCAATCCGTGATCAACTCGTAAAAACAATGACAATTGATACATTATTAAACCATTCATTCAGTTCACCTGTTTCCATGATAAGTCGGACATATCAACCCATTACTTAAACATATTATGAAACTATGATAAGCTATCATTTACTTAAGAATTAAGTCGAATGTTTGCGAAATGTACAATCTGTCAAGCTGTGATGAACATAATCTACAGATCACATAGGATAACCAAATTAAACATTATCAATTGAAAAGGGTTAACTCGACCAGAACACATTATCTCATGAAATATTTCAGCACTACTAATTGGTGACTAAACCCATTTTTTGAAGTCTTGCCAGTTCTCAGAATAATCTAAAAGGTGTCATCAATATTACTAGAGTCTTTGTTAAACGACTAAATTGTCTATTAACATCCTCTAGTTTATATTCATTTTATTTTACTTCTGTTTTCATTGCATATTTTATATAGACTGAACCAGAAGTGAAAAATACAGCTTTTCTAATCAAAGGATCAACAATTCGATTTCCAATACGTGGTATTCAACTACATAATAATCCAACAGTATCATTCAGTTCAATTCAGATAGGCGATGTATGCTTTCAGTAGATAAAAAAAAACCTTGATGAGTATGATGACAATAATAATAACAACAATAATAAAAGATACGAATAATTCAGAATCTTTTTAGCTATTAGGCTGTATGTTTGTATTTATTGTGACTGACTTGGCTAATATCGATTCACTTTTTCCCCGTCAACTTCTTCTGTTTTCTCTTCGGACAAATTATCTATCTGTCTCCTCTTGTATTCAAATTTTTGACTATTAAAGGATTTGACGATAAAAAAAAAACAAGTGCCTGAATGAAATTTTGAAACAAAAACTGAAATAATAATAAAACAAATTATAAATTACCAAGTGGATTTTGATGATATGAAATGAATTATCCAAAAATTTTCAGAAATAATGAAAAAAACATTTGCTATTTGATTTACGTTTATACTACTTATAAGTAGATAGATCAGGCAAGGACTTACGACCTAATAAATATGTAGAAGAAAATAAAGCCATTTTCTGAGGAGATATTCAAGTGACATGAGACTCCAGACCATCGGATAGGACCAAAATGCGAAGCGACGATTTAGGCGCGACCGAGATTGATATGAAGGAGATCATGTGAGGAAGTGGAAATACAAACTTGTCCGCAGTTGAGTAGCCAGTTGAAAGTGATTGTACGGAAAAGAGTACAGGGAAGATGTGCTATTGAGGCTTTATGTTCCACTAGAATGTTACAGAGAATAAGGGGACGTTTGTAGTGTGTTTTTACTGCACTACATGCCTCCACACTAGTTAAAGGCAGATGAATAAGCAGTTAAAACAGCCGACTATGCACATGGTCCCAGGTTCGATCCCCTGGCGACGCACACCTGATATCTATGGTCGGCCTGCAAATTTGGACTATCGATATCCATGTTGAAAATTCCATACTTGTACCAAAAATACAGTTTGGAATCAAGCTGTAATCAAAAATAAAATATAATTACAGAAAACACAATCAGCATTCACTTATGACAGACTTGATTATGATACAGGAAACAAAGAAGCTGATAGAGATAGAGAAAAAGCTCCCACAAACTCCGTGGTTCCCCACTAGATTAGCAGAAGCACTTGTTATAATAAAGATTTATGATGTAAGTAACTGCTGTGATCAGTATTGTGAACAGTTCTCAAACACGGAAGAACTACTTAAGAAAAGATTTTGTGGTAAGTTTACGTTTTGGATTAGTAAATGGAACTTAAAAGGCTTTATATATCTGTAGTGCGTAGCCCATAGTCTTCTCGTATATTCATAGCCTCTTTGGGTAAGTTGTATTTACCAAATATAAGTTACCTGGAGGCATTTACAAACTGAAAGGGATAATGCAAACTCAGCAATGAACTGTTGGATACTGAAGGTTCAACAAGAGGAGATAAAAAGCACTGATTGAAAATCTGTGATAGAAATACGCTCCAGGTTCCAAAAAAATACATCACGTGTGAACCTGTTCTGGTTACTGGTAACTATCGATAGTGAGATCCTGATAAGCTTTTACGTCAAAAGTTCGGGAAATGGATTTTAGCGACGACTGTCTAATTCAGTTTGCACTTCTTGGCACTCGTACAATTATTAGGCGGCAAATGAATAGAAAGCTCTACTTAACTTCGTACCCCAGCAACTTAATTTACCTAATAAGTTATGAGGAATGCATTCTTCAATCACTTACTTACACATAATCATGTCATTTTTATTCTCACTAATGGGGCATCTTGCTTATTTTTAATCATCGTCACATTTGTAACCTGGTTTATCTTAATTGGCTGCTTGTTAATGTCTATAATCTCAGTCCACTGTATCGTTTTAGGCTACTAGAAAGTTGTTATTGGAAATCTGGTCTCTAGTGGAATATTCCAGTACAGATATATGGCATTTAAGCCTGCCATCTACAAAATCCAAAACCTGATGCCAATCAGACAGCAGACAGGTTCAACCATAACTCTGGAAATTGTGTCAGTTTGTGTAGTGCTTCATACAAGATCCCAATGAAATAACTTCTCTGTCTGTCACCTAAAATATTACGTCTCGCTTACGCTTATCTAGCAATCTTATGGTATCCTTGGACTGCTTAGACAGTCGCGGTGTCACATTGACCATTGGAGCTAACATTACATGAACTCATTAAATCCCTATGCCCAATCTTTATGTACTATTAGACCGCAAGATTTCGTTAGACTGAAAATAACCAGAAAAAGGTTACCTTTTGGCGTCTGCGGCTAAGCACTAAAGTATTACAGCCCAGAGGTAATGAAGGACGAATGTGTGACGTTTTAAAGTGAGAGCGCTTTACAGGTTTCGTAGTAGCAGGAGAGATTGCGAAGTCTGATAACCACCATGCACTTGGTGATGGAAGCAGCAAGTGGGCCTGACAATGTTCGGAGCTGTTCTAAACTCATTGGAATCTCAGACAGCAAGGAGGATGGTACCAATGAGATAAAGTGTTAACCAAACGATTCACTGACTAACAGTCAACAAAGACAACAAACACTATGCAGAGCACCTGAGAAATAGCTTGATTGACCTATAGCTTCAGTTTTCAATTTAAGTGACCACGGTGCTTCCTGGCCAATTAACTCCAATCCGCCTCATGAAGTGTAAATCAGGAAGAAACTGCAAGAAATCAGGCTACATAAATTGGCTGACCAGTAAAGCTTACTCCCAGCTCATTTTAAAATGATGAAGTGACAGTCATCAGGTAACTTACTAAATTACATGGAAAGTACAAGGGATTGATAACGTCTCAATGATGTCAAATGAAGTGAACATTTCGCCTGTCTGCAGAGAAGGACATGCGATAGTCTTAAAGGCATTTGTCTGTTACTATTTGTGCCTAAACTACTGGCCAACGTCTTTCAAGTAGTAGACTGTGATCTGTTCTCACCGTGGATATATCGATCACTATTCGCCATGGCAGGAGGAAAAGTTTCGCTGTACTGACGTCCGTTGCTTCCTTAAGGCTCGCTAAGTTAGTTGTGCGAGGGATTATGCTACAACAATACGTTACCAAATATTACTTAGAATTATAACTGACTATAACCAAGCTGTATTTTCCTCCTTTTTTCTACTTTTGAAGGTAATATGAAGTAACGAAAGCTCCTATAAGTGTACTTGACAAGTATGCTCATCTTTTTCATTCTGTCACTCATAAGTTTACTTTTCCTTGTATTTTTTTGGATTACTCAGTATGGTATATTTCTTAGCATGTCAATACTTCGCAAAGTTTGTATACGGAAAATTTCATTGACTGACTTCAGAATAATCTTAATCACGAACTGATTTCAGTCCAAGACCAGTCAGTAGTATTAAATAGTTGTTTCATCTTGGTATGGAGTCCTGCAACAAAAGACGTCAATGTAACTAACTAAATGAGACGAAATTTTACTTTATCATATCTGGTGATAGGCAAAGTATAATCTCTCGCAAAGGCATACGCCCAGTAACAATCAATTCCGTTTACTTACTAACTTTGAAATGAACTCCTTGAATTTTTACTGGTAGTGTATTATCAATGGGATCAATCGTATGAGAAAACACACACACCGATTACATTAAATGATAACCGTATCATTTTAAATGGATTTGTATAAGTTAGAAAATGCATATTGCTGAACTTCATCTAACTGTATGACTAGAAATACATTCATTAATATCCAGAGCAACCTTTAGTGAACAAAAGATGTTGTTTCAGTCAATCAATTATCTTACTTTTGAACAAAGCAAGAACTACAGTTTTAGCAGAATAAAATGGTACCATCTTTTATTTCGTTGCCTTCTCGTCAGCTGCTTACATGGAAAAGACATTATTAAATATATCTACAACAACAATTTGACATACTTGCACAGAGTTCATTTAAAAAAAATCAATCGATCAATATACACATACACTAAAAATATATACATATATAAATATGCAATATTAAACACTATTCCGAACAATAATAATCATATACAATGGAAACTTTTAGCATTTCGCATTTGGAAGAAAGAGAGGTGAAAATATCCAGTTACCAGGGCAAAGAAAGACTGATAACCGCTTCTTTCTGGACGCATAAATCAGGTTTCAGGCGCTTGATGGAAATGGCTTCAGCAAACTTAAGGAGAATTGAGCTCTTTTGCCTATTGATAATTTTGAACGACTTTTCGACGTCCACCTCATGACCCGTGTCGAGGAGATGCCTGGCGATGGCACTGTTTAAAGCATTTGTTCCCTTTAGACGTAAGCTTTTTGGTACATGTTCAGAAAATCGTAGATATGCCCTTCTTTCTGTCCTTCCAATGTAACTGCTCCCGCAGATACATGTAAATTTGTATACACAGTTGGAGGTAACATGAGAAGGATATCTATCGATTTTTGATTGCACCAAAGAGCAAGTTGTTCGATAGACGGGAACGAGCTTAGCTGCAGGATAGGCTATGGCTAGTGATGTACTCAGCCTTCTGTTGATCATCGCTGCAATGTTTTCACCTTTATAGTCAAGCTGAACGTAGACTGGCTTTTTACCCACTGTGATTTGTTTTACATTTGTGACTTCAGATCTTCCATACTTGTTGATGAACTTTTGAGGATACCCATTTCTCTTCAATATCTTTTCAAGGAACTCAAACTCCTCCTCTAGTTTCTCTATAGAGCATATTCTCCTCGCTCTATAGTACAGAGTCTTGACTAGACCACGTTTAAAGCTATTTGGACAAAAGCTATTAAAATGCAAGTATTGTCCTTTCCATGTGGGCTTTCGATAAATTGACTTTTGAAGACTACCGTCTTCTAGGCGTTCCATGGCGATGTCGAGGAAGTGAAACTTTCCGTCACTTTCATGTTCCATAGTGAATCAATATTGGCGTGTGCACCATTGAATAATCTTAGTAAGTGTGAAGCATGACTTTCATTTTTGCACACTATAAATGTGTCATCAACATAACGACAGTAGGAAGATGTTTCGTCGATTGCATGCTTCAACTTTGTTCTTTCAAGGTTTGACATGAATATATCTGCTAAAACAGGGCTAAGTGGACTGCCCATAGCTACACCATCTATTTGGCGGTAAAAGTGTTGTCAAATTGGAATTGCACATCCATGGTACACATAAGCAGTAGGCGTTTGAATTCCGACTCTGGGAGTGGGAGAAGATCGGACTGCTGACAAATGATCTCAATAGTTTCATTGATTGGAATCATTGTGAATAGGGAGGTTACATCAAATGACACCATGAAGTTATTTAGAACGTTCATGTGGTTCACACTTTCAGAGAAATGAAATGAGTCTTTCACCGTGTGCACGCCTAGCCGTTGACGAATAGGTTCCAACTTCTCCGCAAGCCAACGTGCCACCTTATGTTGGGGCGAGTTGATCATCGAAAGTATGGGTCTCAGGGGACTTGTTCTTTGTGTATCTTCGGAAGGCCATACATGTGTGGCAAGCGGGACCCTCG